ATATTCAGAAGAACTAGCGTATATGGGGCTCTTAGATACTTTTTACAAAATTGGATTATCTCCTATGGTTTAGGAGTAATTGACCAAACCACTTGTGCGAGATATATTGACCGGCCCTTTAAGTACAATAGATTTTGCACTTACTTATTTTTAGCAATAATTTCATAGATTTTATGCATTAGCCTCATACATTCAATATAATCTATAGAATTAGCATTAGTTCCGCAGAGTCTATAAGATTAGCAATAGCTTCATAGACTTTTCATTGTCCATAGATTTAGCATTACCCGTGTTAACCATAGACCTAACATTTTCCATAGGATTAGCATTGACATAGATTTAGCTTTATTAATGTTAATTTCCCATTGACTCAAGAATCCCATGTTAAAGTATATCCATAAACTTAAGCTGTAATTTTATGTTAAATCATATAAAACTATAAACCACATTGTTAATACATAAATTATAAGTTTGTAGACTTAGCAGTGCCGACAAACTTAACATTACACATAAAATTAGCATTAGTTTTATAAATTCAGCATTAGATATAAAATTCAATTCTAAGATTAATTATATAAACTTAAAAATTGCATATGCTTTAAATATATGTCATATCTAATCATATGTACCCATAAAATAAACTATATTAATAAAATTAACATTGTATGATTATAGCCTAAATTTATGCTATAATCATATGTTGAATTTTATAATCCGGGGGGAAAAGTGGCCGAAAGATCTTATAAATCCAAATTATAAGTAAATTTTGGATTAACAAAAATTATATGCAACATTATATGTTCTAAATATGTATATCTTTATATATTTTTACAATCAATTTATAAATATCTAAATTTATTTCTTATATAATTTTAAAAATATTTTATAATAATAATTTATATATTAATAATAACAAATCATTTTTTCAAAATAATAGTACGGAACATAAATGTCAATCAGATTCTTATACAGAAGTGGCTATGTTGAATAGCAACAAAATGCTAGAATCTCGTATGTCTCACAGACCAAATACGCTGCAGCTAATACAGGAGTTTAATGAATTTCTTTTAGATATTAACATAAATTTGTCTGCCATTGAATTGGCCACTACATTTGAACATGCTGCAAATTTGAAATACAAGTTTTTATTTGATTATTTTATGATTTATTACAATAATATACATGGAGAAACACCTCTCATGGACTTAAATGAGTTACCAATAGTGATTGCAGAATTCAACAAATCTACAAATTATATGTATGACGTTATTAAAGAAGTTAGTCATGGTACATTTGGTAAAGTAATCAAAGTACGGAATGTACTTGATGCACATATTCGTGCCATTAAATTTACAACGTTTAATAGTAAGTTATAATAAGTTACAATGTAGTATATAATGTTAACGTAAGAAAATTTAGGTAATTATAATTAGTTAAGCTTATTAGCAAATATCAATTATTATTGTAGGTTTGCGTACTGAAATGACAATAATGGCTGCGTTGAAACATAAATGCATTGTTAATTATCATGATGCGCACTTTATTGACAACAAGTACATGGCTATTATAATGGATTATTGCGATTTAACATTAAAGAATGTGATCGAAATAAAGAATGATATATTAATCGCACATCCTGAATCAAGTGTTAAAATATTTGATTATGAAATATGCTGGCGTATTTATGGAGAATTATTAAGCGCGTTATATTACATGCAATACGTGACCCAACCGGCGATTTTGCATCTGGACATTAAGCCTGCAAACATATTATGCGATCCCGATTTAACAAATGGGAAATTGATTCGTGTAGGTGATTTTGGCGAGTCGATCATAATTAATAATGTGTCTCGTTTCGACACATTCAAAGGGAGTAATAAATATCGAGCACCTGAAGCGGAATATGCTATATACACACCAGCCTGCGATATATTTAGTTTAGGACAAACTGTAATGGATTTATTAAGCACAGTCTCGTAATAATGTTTTATAAATAATTAATATTTAACTTTATTATAAATGTGAATGAATGTTATAACTAAAATTGTATATTAATCTAATTAGATTTAATGACGCCGATGATGATTTAAACGATCATGAGCAAATAAGGGAATTAAGAGGTGAAATTACACCAATGTTGGATTATGTATATTCGACACGGCCCACTATTATCAATTTAATGGAACGTTATAATACATTTCAATTGCATTATAATATTAAAGAAGTAGAAATGAACTTAAAACAAATTTTTAATAATTCAGCATATTTAAAACACATGTTTTTGTTTAAATATTTTAATAATTTGCACGATTTTAACTAATATGATTATAATTTTAATCAATTGTAAATATATAATATAATTATTATAAATTTTTCTTAATTACAAAATGTTTAATTAATTAATAGGTTGGCTTTAGAAACAAATATTATAATTCATTTGTTAGTTATATTCATAGAAAAGCAAAGCGAGCATAATTGAGCATTGGCGAGCATTGTAATATAGTGTATTTTCTATAGAGCATAGTGTTGCCAGTCTAGCTTTTAAGCCTATTTGATCACTCCTGGTTATATTTGAAATTATTAAATATATATTTTATATCTATTGTGTATAATGTAAATAGTAAAATAATTTTTAAATTTATAAAATTACGTTATATTTTTAGTAGATGACGAGTCCACAGCGCGCGCATGCGCACTAAAAGTTTATCGGTGTATTAGCGTTAGTGCTATATAGTTGCTATATAGTTGGGGGGAAGGCATAGCACTCTACACGTATTTGTCCTCCAATTTACAAATTTCTTAGTTATATTGATATGTGTTTTTATTTTACTTTATTAAATTTAAAATTTTATTAAATACAAAATATAATATTTTTGTCATCAAAAATGTTTTTAACCAAGTTAACATTATATATTAATAAAATTAGTAATATGGTCATTTTCTAGTATATAAAACTATATTATTTAAAATAATACTAAGAGTATTGCATAGATGTCATGTACATAGATATTATATTATATGTTGTATATTATAAGAATAGTACGTTGCAAAGATGTGATTAATGAGTAAAGATAACGATGAGTCAATTAACATTATACAACCAAATTATCATTTTCAACAAATAGGTTTAAGATAATTGAATTAGAGAAAACCAGAAACTCACCAACTTTTGCCATATTACTCTATGGGAAATAAAAGATAGCGATAAATTAAAATTTACTTGATCAATTTTAACAAATTATATACCAAAATGTTTATCATAAAAATAACTTAATAACTATTTCAGGATTTTTTGAATAAATGAATGGTATATGAGTATAAGGTATAAAAGTTGTTATATCACAATATTTTAACTTCGTTCCCATTTGAAAAGTACAAATTCAAATTTAACAATATTAATATAAAAGTGACCGTGATTACTTACAGAAAAAAGTATTTTTTCAATTATTCAATACTATCAAAAAATGCTATTAAATTAATTTTTCTTTGTAAAATGTAGAGTTAAATTCTGAAATTTGACATTTTGAGAAAATGCATTTTGCTGTGTGTAGTTACAATCATTTTGATATTAATATTGTTAAATTTGAACTTGTACTTTTCAAATGGGAACGAAATTAAAATATTGTAATTTAACAACTTTTATACCTTATACTCATATACCATTCATTTATTCAAAAAATCCTAAAATAGGTATTAAGTTATTTTTTATGATAAACATTTTGGTATATAATTTGTTAAAATTGATCAAGTAAATTTTAAGTTATCGCTATCTCTTATTTCCCATAGAGTAATATGGCAAAAGTTCGTGAGCTTCTGGTTTTCCCTAATTCAATTATATTTATTACAATACACACTTTAATGCAACTCAAACCAAACGTATGAATATTTTAAAAAGTATACTTATATTAATTTATATTAATTGTATAACATTTATTAAAAAATTATATTATTTTATAGTAAAAGTGCTAATTTAAATTAACAAATTATATGATGAATAATAAATACTTGTATAAAACGAGATTTGAAGACAATTTTATAACAGAAGGTAAATTAGGGCGTGGTGGGTTTGGCGAGGTGATCAAGGCGCGTCACAAATTAATTGGAAAACAATATGCCATTAAAACAGTGGAACTTGATAAAAATGCAAGCGTTAAATGGCACAGGGAGATACAGGTATGGGTGAAGTTACAATCCGAATATATTGTACAATATCGTACACATTGGCTGCAAAAACGCGCAACCAATAAAGGCCTGCGCAAATTTTTGTATTTACAAATGGACATGTGCCCTTATAGCCTCATAAAATTAAACAATGCTAAAATGGTATATTACTACCCTGATATATGCACATCGGTTATTTATGAATTTAACCACTGGATGTGCACAGAGATTATGGTAGGTGTAAAATATTTGCACAATAACGGCATTTTGCACCGTGACCTAAAACCAGGCAATATATTGGTGGCGAATACTGTCGACCATGTCCGAATTAAAATTTGCGATTTTGGCCTAGCTGCTTACCATAATAAAGGCCCGTTTAATATACACAGCCAACATTTGGGCACACCTATGTTTGAAGCGCCAGAGATGTTTCGCTTTGCAACCTATGATTTTAAGGTCGATATTTATGCCATCGGGGTCATTTTTGAAGAAATATTTAATTTTCAGAGGTAACTTATTTGTTAAATCCGTTCATGTATGTTTTAATAGTTATGAGACATTTTATTTTAAATATTTTATAATTTATACTTGATTCGTAATAGTAAATCCAGTTTTTTGTTTAGCTAGGTTAGCTGCGATTGTAACTTAATTTATTTGTTTGTGTGTGTATAATTTTAAAAAGCATTACATTTCAACAATTGAACATAATAGATTAAAACAGCCGATGAATTTAGACCCTGACCATGGTGCAATGAAAGTGTTCATTAGACAGTTAAGTGACAGGTACTCCGACGAACGGCCTAATTCGGACGAAGCTTTAAAAATATTATCCACACTAAAACCAAAGAATGGTCAGCTCGATATGGCTGAGATTAAAATTAGGATTATACAATTTGAAACAAAAATGGATAAATCTGTAGGTTATAGTGTCATCCAAGACACTGTACCCACATTGACTGATGATGATTTTAGCAATTATTTGAGATGCTTAAAAAAAAGTAAAGATTGTGACAGATTTGTCAATGAATTTAACAACTACAAACATTTGGGGAATAACGTGTTTAAAGTTACTCACATACTGGCTGATTGCGATTATGTTATTAATATAAAGACTACAAAATTTAACCGTAATTTTTGCACTTTTTATATATCAAATAGCTGAATGCAAATTCTAAATATACATTCTGTATATATCGGCTAAGCCAGACAGAGTGAGAGAGAGAGAGAGAGAGAGAGAGAGAGAGAGAGAGAGAGAGAGAGAGAGAGAGAGAG